TATAGGACAATTGGATGGGGAGAACTGAAAATTTGTTTTTATTATGGAAGGCCTGGCGCCACCGTCTTACATCAGAGCAAATTCTGATGGAGTTCCAAACCTGAATCATTCTCCTCAGGGTTATTGACTCAACATATTTGGCTTTTATACATCTCACTTACTCATGCTCACTCTCTCGCTCTCTCTCTCTCTCTCTCTCTCTCTCTCGCTCTCTCTCTCACACACACACACACACACACACACACACACACACGCTCAGCTTTGCCCCATAAAACAGAAAGGGTGCACGAAATTGCTAAGAAGTGCACACAATTGGTGAGATCAAAGGGCAGCCTCACCCTATTTGTTCTAAGGTGTCAGCCCTGGGACTATCCCGTTACTCTCACTTCTACCCACATCCCTTTATTTTCTGATGCTTACTGAACCTCTACCAGAAAGTTTTTCACATTCCCATCTCCTTCTTCATCCCATTCCCTCTACCTACATATACATTCACATGCACACATATACCACACAAACTCACATTCACATCCTTTTTGCTTCAAAGTGCATCATATACTCAACGAAGAGAAAAGGAAACATTCATACCTCACTGAAGTCATCCACATGTACCCCAAGTCAGAATATGACTTGATTTGGGAGTGGTTTCAATACATTAGTTTCACAGTAACTAATCAATACCACACTACAATGCATTTCAAATACCATTCCTTGGCCTTTGACAGCCCAAGTTTAGGGCAGATATTAAAACTAGAAAGAATTCTTTCTACATCGCTTTTGTGAATACAGGATGTTGGCAAAAGGTTATTAGAGTAACTCTTTGCTGGCAGTTTCTCTTTGTTCTCCACATCTCGGAAACCTGCTAAACTCAGCTGCATGTAAAACAATGCAGAAACATTTTGGTGTGAGCAGCAACACACCCTTTGGGTAAAGGACCACAGAAGTATTGGAGAAAGCACTCTTTAAAGTCAGCATTACCTCCCAAATCGGTTATTCCTTTTCTCTACTGCTGCACAATGCTAAGTGGTGATCTCCTATGTTCATCTGGGCAGTAGACTCTCCACTCTAACTCTTCTGGTCTGTTCCGAAGCTAAGGAAAGCCTCAAAGGTGAGGAGGTCTAAGTTTCTGTGCCACAATGAGGCTGCCATATCCTTCTGCTTTCCCCTGAAAATCAAGCATCACCTTATCGTTTCCCCACCAAGATTAACTCCCGCTTCCTGAAGAGTATTTCTGAGGTAGAAAGCAGAGGTGGTGAAAAAAGGGGGAGCTGAAAAGTCCAATCTGTCAAGCTCCATTTTAGGAGAAAGGAAAACTGAAAAGTGAACGTATTTAACATGAGCCATTTCCTGCACTCAGGAGGGAAGAAAGCATGCTAGGAGCTGTGTGCAGGAGGAGATCCGTACTGGTGTTATCTCTGACCTGCAGCTTAGCCCCAGTGTCTCAGCTGCCAAAAAGCTCCCATTCAACGTTGTGCTGAGTTCATCAATGCTCCACGTGTCAGGATCCTAACAGGAAAAAGCAGGACAGACAGTTTCTCCATTCAACCGCCTGGGGACCCCATGACAACTAAAATCCCCTCGCAGACCGTCCATATCAACCTTCGGCAGGTCAGAGCACGCAACCCCTTCAGAACCACAGGCTCAGGCCCACACCCTTTCCCCTTGTCAACATTGTCACTTTAAACAGAACATCGAGCCTTATCACGAAACCTGAAGTAAGTATGACAATTAAGATGGATTGCAAAGCCTGCTTGTGCTTCACAATTAACAATCACTTGGCAGCAGGTTCCACGCAACTGTTGGGGGGTATGGCAAGAACTTTATCCCTGCTTAGTGCTGCATTAGCATATTTAGTAGGCTGCAAGACATAATTCCTAAGATATGAACATATTTTTGTCTTTTTAAAAAATCTGCAATTAGGCTATAATATGTAGAAACTCTGCACCAGGCAATCAATGTGCAAATACCGTACCCCTTACTTATGGGGTAAGGAGGGAGAAGCCAAAGAAACGTCCCCCAAGCTCTGATACCACCCTGAACTGGTAACTGCTTCCAGTGTCATGGATTAGCTAGAAAACTGCAGCTCCTTCCTGTCTGTGAAAAAACTGGGGGCGGCCTGGTGTTGCCCCACGGCTGCTGGCATCAGGTGATCACTCTGTAAGAACATAGCTACATGATTTCAACCCACATATGTTTTAAAAATTCAGATCCTGACATGACCCTAGTGGTTACTTACCAAACTAGGCATTTTTCACAGAAGGCACTTTCTGATTCTCAATCTCTGAGTAAGAAACGATGTTGATGAAAATCACAAAGGCACTTTATTCTACAAATGTGAGGTCTCTTCCTCAAACTTTCCATTATTTGCCTTTAGTTGCTGGCACATCTGCCGCACTGAAGAAAAGAGATCAGGCAGTGCTGAGACAGGACCAACATCACTGGCTGAAAGACAACCCAAGCTACTGTCTCTAACTTCTCCAGTGTGTTTATTGTGTAGATCCAGGCCTGGAGTCCAAGTGTGACCCTGGTGGGGGCTGCGGAGGAAAGAAACATAGCTAGATCTTTCTGAGATAGCCCGGACTTTGTCTTTCTTGACATCTGGGTTGCAAGAAGGCAGGATATCCTGCCAAATACATTACAGCTGTGAGACCCACCTTGTGACTAAGACTCAGCCGAGGCTGAGGGACACAGGAGACAGAGGTGTGGAGTTTTCTGGGAAAGAACCCTCACCCTTTACAGACACCTCCTTTATCAAAGGAAACAAACACATACAAAGTTTAGGTGAATAGCTCTCCAGTTGCACAAAAGAAAGCATATGAAAGTAACAAATGCAATTTAGCACACAAAATCTTTCTTTACAAAACCAGAAGAGTAGCAGATTAAAGCACCTGGCAGTCTTGGCACGCCAAGAGAAAAATCTTAGCTGTGACAAAGCAAAACAGGTGTACAGGTATAAAACTTTTGCTTTCCAATAATGCCCCTCTCTTCACTGGAATACTTTGACAGGTGCAGAAGTTCAAGTTACAGTGGGGAAGTAGCAAATAAATACACAGCATTAGCGTCTGACGTGCTTGCTGAGCACCCGGGGATGTTAATAACTGGCAAGGTACACTAATCTCTGATTGCAACATTTGGTTTACCTTAATCTGGAGGGACAGCTGTATTAAAGAGGGAATTATACTAATCAGTTCAAGGCCCTTGCATATAAAACTTCCCATTAGGCTTAAAGTACACCAGCTTATGCTCATTCTCTAGGAGCCTTACATCTGGTTCTGAATAAGGCTGCCTCTCATTTGCAAGGTACAAACTGAAAACAAGGGGGAGGGGGGCTGACAGTTGCTGGAGGATGGGTGATAGAAGAGGAAGCTACTAATTCTTTGAAATGTTTAACAGCACAAAACTAGCTTCTAGGCATCTTAATACTAAAAGGGAAAAAAAAAAAGCATGTGTTATCAACCCTAGGCCATTTTTTCCTGTTACCGGAGGTGACCAACATAAAATAAAATTGATGATGTCAGTCAAAAACAGCTAAGCACAAAGCTTGGCTTTGTTATCTTAAGTCAGAAGGTATGATAGGCCATGCCATATGGCTCTAATCCGCCTCTATCTCCCATCACCTAACAGGAAACCTTCGTGTAGCATGACCTTATTTGGCTGGTTCCAGGTTAGGGCTGCCCAAAGGGGATTTTTCTGTTTCTGCTATATCCAAAGGTTTATGTTGATTTTTTTTCTGAGCCCTGCAAACTATAAATCCGACTGATTACTCTGCACTCTTTTGCTTGACTGAGCCTTTACAATCAGACATCCCCGTTAACAATAAGCTCCTAATGAATCAAACATCTATGGCATTAGTTTCACCTAGCTGCCTCTTTCCCATGCACTGTGCTGCTTTGTCAGACCTGGTTTGATGAGAAAAGCTAGTGACACTTGCTGCACCTATTGATAAACAATTCAGTAATGAGGGGCATAACAAAAATTACCTACAACAACCTGATTAAAAATGACAGGCAAAGCTTACTCCTTGCTCTATAGTGAAGGTAACTCTGGCACTGTGTAGGGAAAATAATGAGGTAAAATAAAATGTCCTCCTTCACACAAGAAGTCCACTTCTGAATGTGTGTTTACAAAGAGATGAAATTTTAGCAGTGATGTTTTAAATTCATTCAGGTTATGTGATTATCACCAATGTTAGGGACTCCCAGAATTCAGGAAGCCTGCCTTTCAACTTTCTGCAATAAACTCTCTGCTTTTTCTACTTAAACTTTCTGAATAAACCAAACTAATATCGAAATCTTCACTTTTTTTTCTCGAATCTAAGTTTAGTCATTGAGAAACTTAACAGTACAAGCACTAATAATTAGGTAAATGAAGCATGGGGATAAAAAGAAAAATTCTAAGACATGCACACACATAAAAAAATTCTGAACAAAGTAGAAAAACTCAAAGGACAATATCACCTCCCTAAAAGGAATAACTTAACCTTACCATGAACACTGAAGTTCTTTTTATTGGGGTCACCCAGAGGACCTTTGCAACTTCGAAACAAGCTTCTACCCAGGGGAGGCCAGGCTCTCATGAAAGCTTGATTCAAAGACAGAAATGTGTGGGTTCTGCAATTGTGTAGCAGCATGTTGGGAGGGTTTCCATCAGTGCACAGATGCACTTGAAAATCAAATATGGACATGGGGAATGTTTTTTGGAGATGGAAAATGAGTGCTGATGACATGTTTATACTTCACAGATGGATCCAGTACAGAACCATTTTTTGTAAAGAAACAATATCCACCATTTGCTATTTTTTTTTTTTTTGAGGAGCTACAAAATGGTGGCACAAAAAGTGAATATTCCCATCGTACAGACTCCACCTGTTCCATGGTCTTGCAACTGTCTTCCATCCTAAATGTAATCATTGACTGTTGTAGTCTTATTTTTTCTCAAATGTTATCCAAAAGGATCTGAAAAAAGAAATACAATACACAAAGGCACTTGGAAGAGCAAAATGATCTGAAATTAATTTGCTGCATATGAAAAAAATTGGAAGATGATAAATGCTATTAAGTAACAAATGCTGAATTTCATCTTGAAAAATGCATTTTCTTATTGGCATATTTTCTCCTTGTATCTGCTATCAAATCAACTTTTGAATGTCTTCTACCAAGAAATCTGAATGTCTTCTTTATTCCTTTCTTTGGCCCACCACTAGCCAAATACCACTTTTACGTACCTGAAACCTCTGGAAAATGCAAACACTTAGCATAAGAGTAATTCTAGTTATTGCCTGATGGTTGATATAGTGATAAATAATTTATAGTTACAAATATCAATTACGATAACATGAAATGCATTCAATGTATATTTATAAGAAGATAATCTAAAATATGTAACTGCCTGAGAACATTATTGATAATATTGTTTGTAAACTTTGCTTCCTCAATAGCAGATCTCAGAATAATCAAATTTTAATTTATTGCCACATCAGTAATATTAATTTGCCATTTCAGGTGTGAAATATTGATGAAAGTGACCCACTTCAAAGATGTAGGAATTGAAAAATAATTAAAAAGCTATGGATGTGAAATATAAAAATTAATAGTGAAATTTTTAGGAGCAGTATTTAAAATAACTGCCACCCTGAACACATCTCAGACTTGATGACTAGGTATCTTTTAAATGTTCTAAATAATATTTTTTTCTTAGTATTGATCAGACAAACTCATTTTTCCTGATGTTTTACCTTCTTACCATCCGTATTCATAACCTACTGAATTCCACAGTTACCCTTTAGTCAATAATATTTTCATTTAAGAGGTTAAGAATTAGAAATAGAATATGAATCCCAGCAAATGAGCAAACAGCCTGAGACTGAATAACAAAGTCTTAAGAATATATATAAATCAACATGTTCTTTCGACCCTGTACTCTGGCAGCATAACAAACATCAATCTGCAGTTCTTCATCCTCTGATTCTAACACCTTGTTATCATCTTGGAAGTAACAAAAGCCTGTGTACGTGTCTCCAAATAAAGCAAGACTTCATTTTTATTGCTGGATTTTTGACCCATGTGACTAAGGTCAAAACATTTTATAAATCGTTAATTATTTTTTTGCCTTTACACCAAAAAGCAAAGACAATGTTTTCTTAGAGTCTTACAGAAAATATTAGCATATTTTCTCCTTGTATCTGCTATCAAATCAACTTTTGAATGTCTTCTGCCAAGAATCCTAAATGTCTTCTTTATTCCTTTCTTTGGTCCACTACTAAGCCAAATATCACTTTTACGTATTCGAACACTAGCACACTTACTTAAATTTAACTTACTGAACTCTGAAACAGTTGAGAAGAGTGAAAGCACAAGGGAGGACCCCCCAAAAAACTGAATGATTTTTTTGGAGGGCGTGCCACTTGTAGTACAGGCTTCCCCTGCTAAGTAAATGTTCTAGGAATCCGTTGACATCAGTGTACCAGCTAGCATTGTTGTGAGAAGCTGCGTTCAGCTTCAATGAATTTGGAGGGGAGAGTCTTTCAATGCACTTGACCATTTCATGATGGGTGATTTACAAGCACACCATGCTGAGTGTTCAGGAGTTTTTGACCAAAAACAGCATGACCCCCATGCCCCACCCTCCCTATTCACCCGATCTCACCCACAACGACTTTTTTTTGTTTCCTCAGATGAAAAAATTCCTCAAAGGGAAATGGCTTGCCCATGTGGAAGAGGTGAAACAAAAAATGGCAGAAGCACTAAAAGGCATCAAAATTGACTAGTACAAAAACTGTTTTGAGCAGTGGGAAAAGTAGCTTGATAGGTGTATTGCTTCAAATGGAGAGTACTTTGGAGGTGACTGAAGTTTAAACATGTAAGAATAAAAACTTTTTTATAAATAAATTCTGGGGGTTTTTGGTCCCCGCCATAGATCCTTCTAATTATAGCATTTCTTACACAGTTATGTTATTAGCCATCACTCAACAGATGCATAGAACATAGAACTGGAAAAAATTAGAGATGATTTGCTTCAATTCTCTGATTTAAAATACTAGTAAAGAAAATCCAAAAGGTACTATTCAAGTTCACATAACTAGAGTGTGTCTGGAAGTCAGGTTTTCTGAGGCTTGCTTCAGACCATTCTGTTTGCATATTTTGTCATAATTAGTTACAGTGGACTGATTTTATGTCACTAATCATTTATACTCTAAGTACTATATTATATTGCAATAATACAGTGTTTAAAGAACATCACACTTAAAGAATAAGTAAATAATAAAATAAAAAATTAGTAAACCAGTGTCTAACTTGTTGTCTGAATGTAAAGTGTCTGGCTCCTCTTTAAGGTCACTGGATTATTAGTGAAGAAATTAATTGTGTGATAAAACAACCAGGTCCCTGTGACAAGCAGAAGTTGTGTAATTTGTAAAGGTGCTGCTAAACAAAAAACAGATTAAATATAGGGACTTTCTGGCTTGATTATATTATTCTACTTTGCCATATTAACACACTGACTATTCACCCATACGATACCAGGATGTGGTTTACCATCCAAACTATCTAAAACTCATATCCATAGGATCATAAGGTGTGCTCTCTGAGCCAAAACAGATAAAAAATTTCTGGCCCATGGAGATTAAGTGATTTGCCAAGATCAAATAAGTAGTTAGATACACCTAGATAAAAGCAGTACTGAATGACGGCATTGTCTTTAACAAGCAGATTTTGTGTCAAGTGTATAATAACTAACACCAATTTAACTTATGGGAAAAAAGGGCAGATCCTTTGCTTGGAGATTAAGCAGTATACCATTACAAGAATAAGTATAGTCACTATGGATAAATGAGAATTTGGTTTGATTAGAAAGTATACAAAAGACCCAGGGAGCGCATGCCCCGCAAAAGTAAAAGGGAAAATATCAGTTAATACTCATAACTGTATATTATCCTTTGGAAATTTGATTTCCCCTTCAAGCCTTTCTCTGATTTCTATTCTTGCAATCTGTCATATTTGTTATGAGAATGTTCGAAGGAAAATATGATTAGTATATTTAGCATCACAGTTGTCTGTATAATTGATCTATTTTTTTTGGAAAGATAGAATATGGTCAGAAATTTGTACTTAATTTTTTATCATAAAAATTATACATGTTCATTGTAGAAAAGTATAAAGATAAGCCAAGAGTAAATAAATAGATAGATATGTAAACTAAAATCTTGCCTCACATTGTACCATGTTAGTATCTAACCTTTCAGAATTTTACCTATGCAAATATGTACATGCAAATATTTTATTCAAAGATGAGGTCATGCTATGCAAAGCATCATTTGATCTGACTTTTGCCACCCACCCCCCCCCGGCAGGAATGCATTGTGAATGAGTTTCCCTGGCAATAAAAATAGGTCATCTTCATTGCCATCACAGTAGTCCAAGTTGCCATCATCTCTCACTTACTATGTTAGAAAATAATACCTACTTAATTCTGACCACCTGTCCAAACCACTTTGTACATTACAGCAAGAATAAGCTGTCCAAATGCCAATCTGGTCATGTTATCTCCTCTCACCTTCTTAAAACTCATTCAAGGAGTTTTATTGTCTATGTCAAGACTTCTCAACCTCAACACTAGTGACATTTTGGCCCAGATAATTCTATGCTGTAGAGGGCTGTCATGTGGGTTGCATAATATTTAGCAGCCTTGCTAGCCTTTCTACCTATTAGATGTCACTAAGACCCTAACCCAGTAGTGACAATCAAAAATGTCTCCAAACAATGTCAAATGTCCCCTGGGGAGCATAACAGTTTCCAGTTGAAAACCAATGATCTATATTAATAATCCAAATCCATAGCATGGCTCACAGGATCCTGTATGCTGATCTGTTCCCTTCCTGCCTCTCTAGTATGATCTCACTTTGCTCTCCCTCTTGCCCTGCATCTTCTTCAACCACACATAGGGTTTTTGTGGGTTTTTTGGTTGGTTTGGTTTTGGGGAATTTTTTGGTTTGCTTTTTTTTTTTTTATAATCAGTATTTTTTATTATGGTTTTGTGGGGTACAGTTAAGGGTTAG